CTTCTCTTTATGCAGTTGAAATTGGTGAAAAACACACATCCGTCACCCTGACCTGTAAAACGAATAAAGACAGTGTCACATGGAAACATGAGGATGCAGATATCACAGTGGAAATAGTGGAATCAGATTTTGAAAAAGTCAGTGGTCGGAGTTTGACCGTGATCGACCTGCAGGAAGACCAAATCGGAAATTACACCTGCTGGAGTGATAAGGGTCTTGAAGACTACACCTATCTCCTGCTTGACAAGTCTAAAGAAGACACAGGTGGGAGCGTCATATATTCCTAACATTCCTCTCAAGCAATCAGATCTTAAGGTTAGGTTATGGTTAGGAATAAGGCCTATATGATTGTTTGATAGGAATGTCATCCTAACACCAAAAAGGATGTTGACCATGCAAAGTTGTGGCATTCCAATATTCATTAACCATGTCATTAGTTAACCATCCAATGTTACATTAATATTACACATTAAAGCACTGTCCAGAATAGTAAAACCACAGTATTTTACTAATAGCTCGATCAGAGGCTGCGTATACAGAGTTTTGGAAGGCACAGCCAAATGAAAGTGCATACACTTTATTTAATATTTAATCATATTTTTAATAAGTATTCTAGTGATGAAATAGTCACTTGGTTAACCATAAATTTGATCATTCTTCGTTCTAGATCAGTGATTCTCGCTAATGATGTCCTCACACAGGCACAAAGAGCAGGGAAAAAAATAATGCTAAAGGCAAATATTAAATTCAACCAACCATAAAATCACGCATAGCTTATCAAACAAGTGAGAAAACACTTTCCATATCTTTTGTTGTTGACGTCAAAGGCTGTGTGTCCAAACAAATTCTACAATATTTTGTGCAAATTCTGCCGTCAGTGGGTAGAATCTATGGCTGACAGATTTTAAGGACATTTACTACTGTGTTATTTCTGGTTTTTGAAGCAAAACTAGTAGGGGACCACTTATCTAGATCATTATTTGTGTATTATTATGTGAAGGCAGTTTAAAGTTTCCTTTAAAAGTGCCTCATTAAAAATAGCTGCCTGTTGAGTCATTGACTGTCTGGGCTGCAAAGCAGGAAGGCAGCTTACCGGTAGTTTTTGGACAGTATTCAAGTTTATGTCTGTTCAGTCAGGTTCAGCTTTTTCAGCGAATTTCTTTCTTCCTCTTCAGTGTTTAACATCAATTGCACAGCTGAAACTCTTTCCTGCACTGAACACATCAAATGTGCTTGGACCTCAGATGAATTTACTGCTTTCAGACTTCGCAATACAAGGTATCAGACATCCAAACACACCCACAGATTAAATAAGATGATTTTATCACTGACTCAACTGAACATGCGTGTGGTGTTTATTTAGAGATAATGGTAACTGGGTGTCACAGCCTGTGGATGGGGTATTTTTTCTCCCACATTCAACTAATTCCTATTCTGAAGAATCGGAGCGACTGCTGATAACAGGGGAGGCAGTTTCCTCATGTTGCTATTTGAAAACTGACTACAGCTTCTACCTCCGAGACATTGGTGAGTGTGTGGGTTAAGATTGTAAGTTTATGCTCTGATTAACTCTTTTTTCACAATGCGTTCTTCGTCTTATTTTAAGTCATTTAAAGTCATCATGTTGGGCATGTTTTATGGGGACTTTCCATAGACATAATGATTTTTATACTGTACAACCTATATATTATATCCCCGAACCCTAAACCTACCCATCACAGAAAATTTCTGCATTTTTTCATTTTCAAAAAACTTCACATAGTATGATTTATAAGCTGTTTTCCTCGTGGGGACTAAAAAATGTCTCCACAAGGTCAAAGATTTCTGGTATTCCCATCTTCAATAGACAATAGTTTTTAAAAGTAAAAAAAAAATGTACGTCTTGATTGTGTGTTAATTACATTAAATTTTTTTAATATATATTAACAATAATGATGTAAATATTAATCAATATATATATATATGTATATATAAGTCATCATTGGAAGTTTGCTGAGGCCCTCTAGTGGGCGCATGGTTGAAAAACACTGGTCATCATTGATTGAAAGTGATGTCTCTTGTTTTTCCTAGTTAAGCCAGCCAATCCAGACATTTCAATCTGCACAGTAAAAAATGGGGGAAGTGATAAGCAAATCATAGAACTGGAGGTGATGCCACCTTCTTCCTGGCCGCAGCCTCACAGTTTCTTTCCTCTGAAGCATCAGGTCGAGTACCAGATTCGACACAATGGGGAGGTACGAAATGCTCTCCTGCACACACCAACGCACATCTCTAAAGATTAGTTCACCAAAAATGAAAGAAATATTCAGTCATCATTTACTTTTATGTCATCCCAAACCTGTATGACTTTCTTTCATGATGAAGTTGAACAGAATTATAATCAGTGATGCTGTCTACACTGGATGCAGAGAGGCGCGACACACACATTCCCGACAGTAAACTGATGCCCCGTTCTATTTCTGACATACGTCTGACACGAAGAACAAATGGATTTGTATTTGCAACGGTCGCTTTTTCCAGTGTAGACAGCCTCAAGCTAGGAACAATTCAAGTCTTTAATTACTGAAAATCATAATGTTCATTTTAGGGTGAACTATTTCTTTAAGAACTGTCATTAATTCTCTTGTTTTCTGTTTCTGTATACTCACAGCTGAAGACTGAAGAATGGGAGGAGGGGTCAAAGATTAAAGTTGAAGGGCATATCAGAAAACTAAGGGTGCGCTCCAGAGACATGCTTCTCCTCTCTCAGTGGAGCGAGTGGACCTCGTGGAAAAAAGTAAACTAGTGATTTAAACCTCCCTTCCTCCTGAACCCTTTATTTATATCTCCTGTCCCATTTTCCTGTTCCTTATTTATTTATTTATTTATATATGTGTTTATGTGTGAATGATCATGACACTGGTTACATATGACTGTTACACACACACTGTACGACTGTATGCACCATGTCTCTGTCCTATTAAAACCTTTGCTCTTCTATTCTGTCTCTTCATTCCTTAAAGTCCCCCTAGTCAATCATTTTATCCTTTAAACGACATATTTAAACGTTTTTTTTTTCCCAGTGAAAATGATTTCCGCATGACTTAAAATAGCTTGAAAGTACACCCTTGCTTCATTTAGTATACACGGATGCATGAATATGCAAATTAGCCCCGCCTCCACTCACTCACACCAGCTCAGAATACCTGATCCAAGTGGCAAGTGGAAATACTGGTTTAATTCAGCCCTATATGTTTGAACCAGAAACTGATTCAGAAGAAGTGGAAGAGTGAATTATACAGGCTCGTGTACAGTGCTGGTCAGAATTATTTGCCCCTTTGGTAAATATGATCAAAGATGGCTGTAAAAAATAAATCTGCTAACAGATCTGAGTTTTCTCCTATAATGCCTGATGAGTTTGGTCCAGATCCATGTTGGCGCTTCTTCTCTTCAGTTCAGCCCACTCATTTTCTATAGGGTTCAGGTCAGGGACTGGGATGGTCATTGCAGATGCTTGGTTTTTGTTGCATTTTTGTTTTGATTTTGATGTTTGTTTTTGTTGCAAAAAGTATTTAATTAAAGGGGGCAAATAATTTTTCCCAATGTGTTTTGGAGAAAAACATTTATTTCATAATGTGATTTCCCCCACTTTCAATTCTTTTACTTCAATGAAGATGTTTGCTTTAAAAAATATATATATATCAAAAGGATTTTTTACAGCCATCTTTGATCATATTTACCAAGGGGGCAAATAATTCTGACCAGCACTGTACATCAGAATGATAACACGTTTTATGTATCGCTTTCTACATCGTAGAGACATATCGACAACACGTAACAGTAATTAATAAGATTAGCCTTTTGCTTGACTACGTTATCAAACAGCTAATAATGTGTTGCTAATGTTACACAAACCATGTTCCTGTTCACATCTCAGTCTGCCTTTTGTAAATCAGTATCCTTAGAAACGCCTGAACAGCTTAGAACGTCAGTGGAGAAAAGCACATAGTTCATCATAACATCGTAGTACACATCATAAACAACATAATTCACCCGCTATATTGCTAAACGCACCCTGATTTTTCCTATCAACAGAAAAATATATCGGGATAACCTGGATTTTCTCTTGAGACAGCTCTGCTTCACAACATAGTTAATGATATGCTAAAGCCCGCCCACACGTTGACATGATTGGTTATTACATGTTTGTGACGTAGAGAACAAGGGCGATTTTAAACCGTGCTTTTGTCTTTGGTTAAATGCAGTTTTAAGGAGAAAATACTCAGCAATGGTGTTGACTGATGAATTTGATTATGGTTGGTTTGTATTAAAGCATGTTAAAAAAAACGCCACATAGACATATAAACAAACATTAAAAACTTTGATTTTCTTTAAGTATCACAGTTACAATTCACTGGCCTACCATTAAAAATAACTGTTTTCTATTTTCATGTATTTTAAAATGTAATTTATTCCGGTGATGGAAAAAATGTCTTTCCTTTTAAACAGTATGTATACGAGAGAGAAGCTTTGCGTCCAGATATCTGTGTGTGTTTATGACAGAATGCACATGATTTCTTGTTCTCTGTATAGGTGCCCGACAGGGAAACAAGAACCCGTACCAAAGAAAGGGGCAAAGAAAAGAAGAGGCAAAAAGAACAACAAGAAATAAGAAATAAGAAGAAAAATCACAAGAAACCCGGCATGGGGAAAAAAAGAGGAAACTTCTGAACTGGGCATGTTTTTGAATTACTAAAAGAATATTAAAAGTCTAAAAGTAAAATATCTAAAAGTATATTTTTATTCTAATTCAAACACTAAATAGAGAGCGAATTTGTGTATAAGATTGCTTGAATAAATGCTAAATAATCATTGCAATCTTGAGCTGAGTATTCAACCGCAGGGGGCAACAGTGAGTTAGGTTCTCCCTTTAGGGCTTTATGGAATTCTCTAGTTTGTAAATGAAAAATCAATAGAGCTCACGAATGGAAATATGTATAGTAAATATATAAAGAAATAAATAATTTTCAAAAATATTTATTGATATTATTATTGTGTTATTTTCCTTCTATGTTTCTGTTCTTTTTAACTGCACTCTTTTACTTGTGTGTCCTCTTGGTTTTCTCTTTGCTCATCCGTTATGACTGTGTCTTGCTGCAGTTGCATCAGGGTTTCATTTTGATTGGCAGGATGAGCGGTAAAAAACAGCCAATGGTTATTGTCCCGCTCAGCTTTATGGGAGTCCAAGAAGGTGTGAGCAGTGAGTTCATATTCTTTACCAAAAGGAGTCCTAAACACACAAACAGAAAAGAAAAACACTAGTAAATATCCCCACAAAATGAACATTAAATTAGACTGACCTGTTTTAAAGCTCAAGTTTATATGTATATATATATATACAGTGCTGGTGAGAATTATTTGCCCTCTTGGTAAATATGATCAAAGATGGCTGTAAAAAATAAATCTGCATTGTTTATCCTTTTGATATTTTATTTAAAATCATCAAAAATAAATATTTGGTCAAAAGTTTGGAAAAATTACTATTTTTTAATGTTTTTAAAAGTAGTCTCTTATGCTCATCAAGGCTGCATTTATTTGATCAAAAATACAGAAAAAAATGTGTAATATTGTGAAATAAAATAAAATAATGGTTTTCTATTTGAATATACTTTCAAATATAATTTATTTCTGAGATGCAAAGCTGAATTTTCAGCCTCATTACTCCAGTCTTCTGTGTCACATGTTCCTTCAGAAATGATTCTAATATGCTGATTTATTATCAATGTTAGAAACAGTTGTGCTGCTTAATATTTTATAACCTGTGATACTTTTTTCAAGATTCTTTGATGAATAAAAAGTAAAAAAAGAACAGGTTATTTAAAATAGAAATCTTTTGTAACAATATACACTACTGTTCAAAAGTTTGCGGTCAGCCAATTTTTTCTTTCTTTTTTGAAAGAAATTATTATTATATACAACAATGTTAAATGATAATATACTATATAATGATAATATATATAATAAATGATAATATATGATTATATCCAGTAATGATGCTGACAATTCAGCTTCGTGTCATAGAAATAAATTATATGTTAAAGTATATTAAAATAGAAAACCATTATTTTAAATTGAAATATTTTAAAATATTATTGTTTTTTTCTGTATTTTTGATCAAATAAATGCAGCCTTGATGAGCATAAGAGACTTCTTAATGCAACTACATATTTCTGAGTGAGACAAGATTCAAATTAAATGACCGACTTCTTAATGCAACTACATATTTCTGAGTGAGACAAGATTCAAATTAAATGACCCATCATACCACTGATCAGCTCTACCAAACTTGGATGTCTTTTTGATTGATACTGTGAAGCAGCTTTGATACAATCTGTATTGTGAAAAGCGCTATATAAATATATTTGACTTGACTTGACTTGACAAGATAACAAGAAAATGAAGAATGCAAAGTGGATTTTATTGATTAGGAACTTGTAATATTAAGCCATTCCCTCAACACTTGAATTGAAACTTTTACAGTATAAAATAAAACATTACCATAGGATGTGATTGCTGAGTGCAGCCAGACATTGATTTGTCTTAAAGTGGGAAATCAAAACCTTGCTGTTCACCTGCCAAAACAAAGCATTCACGTCAGGTTATTAAGGCAACACCAAGTAACTTTTCCTCAGCGGTCGCCCTACAGGTTGGAAGAGGAATTGTCCATTACCGCTGTCGTAAATAATTTAGCCTACCGCAGCCTACGGTCGCACGCACGCTCGCTGTTTATCCAGCACCGGCTTTGGAATCAACAATGGCAGACATCCCAACCTGCAAGAAGTCATTTCAGGGAGGTATATCTTGGTGACTGGATTGTTGACGGGGGGGGGTGGCGGGTTGACTAGCTTTCGTGAGGCACACTCGCAAGGTCTCTCGCTCTCTCTCTCTCTGCCGTGCACGTGCTATGTATGTTATGCGCGCAGTATGTTCTGTCTCGCATGCGCGCTCTAGATTCCGGGAGATTTGAACTAATTTGCGGGCATCAGGGAGACGCTATCAATATGCGGGAGACTCCCAGGCCACAGACAATTTGAGAAAGTGGTGGGGGAAGTGACGTATGCCGTAAAGCAGTCGAATTTTGTAGTTCTTTTTGTGCTCGGGTTACTACCCGAAACCCGAAGTTACATAGTGCAAGTAAAAGCGATACAGACCACGTCAGGCTATGGCAGACGTGTCATTTAACCTATTGTAAATCGATGTACCATCACAAGGGTCTTGGAAATATATTATGAAGGTTGAAAAACTACATAGTGTTGCTTTAAGTTGCCAATAAAAACAAAAGTGTGTGCACCTGAACAGGGTATCCCTCATTTTCAAGCCTTTCTTGGGGGTCAAAGTAAAGGACCTTCCACCAGCACAGGAAATCAAACTTCTCAACCAAACTCAACTCCTGTAGTCGAGACTTCTTAGCACACTTCAGAAATGTTCGGTGATCACTGGAAAGGAACAGCTATGTAGAGTCAAACAGATTGCATGTTAAGATATGGCAAACTCAGCAATTACAAAACAACTGTGCATACATTTCATTCGCTTGTTTACCTCTCCGGCAAAGTCTGCAGTAGTTCTCAGGGCAAAGCTTTGATCGTATCTGAGCAGCTCTCCATCTGAGGTCCCATCAACACTGAATCACATGATATAACAGATCAGAAACTACGTGTGTGCGATTGAGTACATCTGAATGTGCATGTGCAATACCTTGTAATGATAAAGGCGTTTCTAACACAAGGGGTCATGCTGTGGGATCCCCCCACTTGGAGGGGCCCGAGAAGGTGGGGGACTGAATTTGTCTCTGAACGTGATGCGATATTACTGATGTCGCCAATGATGCTAAGAACACAAGTGCCACGCTGGTCATGCTCTCCACCTCCAGAGTTCACCAGCATGATTGTGTCACCAAAGTGCAGAAAGCCATCCTGCGTCACTGATAAACTCACCTAAACAAAAAATATAATCAGTCTCACATTTAGCAGACAAACAGTCACAGTTAAAGTCGACACAAGACGGAAGTTGCATCTTTTCTTCCCTATTATGACATATATCCAAGTGAAAACGCTTCTCTAACAAGAATAAATGTAGGGGCAGGACTTGATATTGTCCATCGGGAATTGAATTGAAGGTTGTGGTTTACTATTGCTGTGATCTCATGTGAGACGCCAGTAGGAGAGAGAATAGATGTCGTTGAAAGAAGAAGGATAAGTTGTTTTGGTTAAAGGGATCATTTACTCACCCTCAAGTTGTTCCAAACCTGTATGAGTTTCTTCCTTCTGCTGAACACAAAAGAAGATATTTTAAAGAATGTTGGTGACAGTTGACGGCACCCATTGACTTCTATAGTAATTTTTTTTTTCCTACTATTGAAGTCATGGTGTCTGGTTAGCAAAATTGTTTAAAATATCTTATTTTGAGTTCAGCAGAAGAAAGAAACTCGTACAGGTTTGGAACAACTTGAGGGTGAGTAACTTAAATGATGACAAAATATTTTGTGTCCATTTTTTTTGGGGGGGGGGGGGGGGGGGGGGGGGTGAACTATCCCTTTAAAGATTAGTACACGAATTAAAAAAATAATAATGATGTGCACGGATAAATCAATTTTGATTTCATTGTGACTTTAAAAATGTCCGAGCATCATTGCATTAGATAAAAAAAAAAAAAAATCAAATAAAGCATAGTTACAATTCAAGCAAACCATTTACGAAAGGGTTTTGAATAATAGACAATTAGGGTATTAATTATTATCGGTCTTCTTGATATTTTATCTGATAAACCCGATCATCTTGCAGCATTGTTGAAAGACTCTTACCCAGATAGCAGACGGATGTGGGCCACTTCAGGCAATGATTCGGCACTGGTGGCCTTCTTATGGCCCGGACCAAATGTGTCTGAGCCTAAAGTGGCCCACATGTAAAATGGCAAATATGGGCCAAAAAATGTAAATCACATGTGGGCCATTTTAGGCAAAGATGCGGCACTCATGGCAATGTGTAATCTGAATCTTAGCCTAAAGTGGCCCATGTGATAGATAACAAATATGGCCCAAATATGACAAACCAAATATGGGCCACCTATGGCAAAAACGTGGCACAATTGACAATGACTAATCTGTATGTAAACCAAATATGGCCCACATATGTTTCAGCAAATGTGGCCCACTTATCTTAAAACATATATGGGCCAGGTTTGGCAAAGATATGGCTCAGTGTCACTGAATCATCTATATGTGAGCCAAAAGTGGCCCACATATAATGTTGCAAATGTGGCCCAGTTATTTAAAACATATCTGGGCCAGTTTTGGCAAAGATATGGCACAGTGGCACTGGCTCATCTGGATGTGAGCCAAAAGTGGCCCACATATAATCCTAAAAATGTGGCCCAGTTATCTTAAAACATATCTGGGCCAGTTTTGGCAAAGATATGGCACAGTGGCACTGGCTCATCTTGATGTGAGCCAAAAGTGGCCCACATATAATCCTAAAAATGTGGCCCAGTTATCTTATAACACATCTGGGCCAGGTTTGGCAAAGATATGGCTCAGGGACTACTGGCTCATCTGGATGTGAGCCAAAAGTGGCCCACATATAATGTTGCAAATGTGGCCCAATTATCTTATAACACATCTGGGCCAGGTTTGGCAAATATATGGCTCAGTGAGCACTAGCTCATCTGGATGTGAAACAAAAGTGTCCCACATATAATGCTGCAAATGTGGCCCAGTTATCTTATAAAACATCTGGGCCAGGTTTGGCAAAGATATGGCTAAGTGACCACTGGCTCATCTGGATGTGAGCCAAAAGTGGCCCACATATAATGCTGCAAATGTGGCCCAGTTATCTTATAACACATCTGGGCCAGGTTTGGCAAAGATATGGCTAAGTGACCACTGGCTCATCTGGATGTGAGCCAAAAGTGGCCCACATATAATGTGGAAAATGTGGCCCAATTATCTTATAACACATCTGGGCCAGGTTTGGCAAAGATATGGCTAAGTGACCATTGGCTCATCTGGATGTGAGCCAAAAGTGGCCCACATATAATGCTGCAAATGTGGCCCAGTTATCTTATAACACATCTGGGCCAGGTTTGGCAAAGATATGGCTAAGTGACCACTGGCTCATCTGGATGTGAGCCAAAAGTGGCCCACATATAATGTGGAAAATGTGGCCCAATTATCTTATAACACATCTGGGCCAGGTTTGGCAAAGATATGGCTAAGTGACCATTGGCTCATCTGGATGTGAGCCAAAAGTGGCCGACAAATAATCCTTAAAATGTGGCCCAGTTATCTTATAACACATCTGGGCCAGGTTTGGCAAAGATATGGCTCAGTGACCACTGGCTCATCTGGATGTGAGCCAAAAGTGGCCCACATATAATGTTGCAAATGTGGCCCAGTTATCTTATAACACATCTGGGCCAGTTTTGGCAAAGATTTGGCACAGTGGCACTGGCTCACCTCGAAGTGAGCCAAAAGTGGCCCATATATAATGTTGCAAGTGTGGCCCAGTTATCTTATAACACATCTGGGCCAGGTTTGGAAAATATATGGCTCAGTAACCACTGGCTCATCTTGAAGTGAGCCAAAAGTGGCCCACATATAATGTTGCAAATGTGGCCCAGATATCTTATAACACATCTGGGCCAGGTTTGGCAAATATATGGCTCAGTGACCAATGGCTCATCTGGATGTGAGCCAAAAGTGGCCCACATATAATTTTGAAAATGTGGCTCAGTTATCTTATAACACATCTGGGCCACGTTTGACAAAGATATGGCTCATCGAGTACTGGCTCATCTGGATGTAAGCCAAAAGTGGCCCACATATAATGTTGCAAATGTGGCCCAGTTATCTCAAAACATATCTGGGCCAGGTTTGGCAAATATATGGCCGAGTGACCACTGGCTCATCTGGATGTGAGCCAAAAGTGGCCCACATATAATGTGGCAAATGTGACCCAATTATCTTATAACACATCTGGGCCAGGTTTGGCAAAGATATGGCTCAGTGACCACTGGGCCATCTGGATGTGAGCCAAAAGTGGCCCACATATAATGTTGAAAATGTGGCTCAGTTATCTTATAACACATCTGGGCCACGTTTGACAAAGAAATGGCTCATCGAGTACTGGCTCATCTGGATGTAAGCCAAAAGTGGCCCACATATAATGTTGCAAATGTGGCCCAGTTATCTCAAAACATATCTGGGCCAGGTTTGGCAAATATATGGCTGAGTGACCACTGGCTCATCTGGATGTGAGCCAAAAGTGGCCCACATATAATGTGGCAAATGTGACCCAATTATCTTATAACACATCTGGGCCAGGTTTGACAAAGATATGGCTCAGTGACCACTGGCTCATCTGGATGTGAGCCAAAAGTGGCCCTCATATAATGTTGAAAATGTGGCCCAGTTATCTTATAACACATCTGGGCCACGTTTGGCAAAGATATAGCTCATCGAGCACTGGCTCATCTGGATGTGAGCCAAAAGTGGCCCACATATAATGTTGCAAATGTGGCCCAGTTATCTTAAAACATATTTGGGCCAGGTTTGGCAAATATATGGCACAGTGGCACTGGCTCATCTAGATGTGAGCCAAAAGTGGCCCACATATAATGCTGCAAATGAGGCCCAGTTATCTTAAAATGTATTTGGGCCAGTTTTGGCAAAGATATGGTACAGTGGCACTGCCTCATCTGGGTGTGAGCCGAAAGTGCCACCCATATGACATGGCAAATATGGCCCATATAATTCATAACAATTTGTACCACATTTAGAAAATATATGGCACAGTCAGCATTGGCTAATCAGGGTGTAAGTCTAACTTGGCCCACATTCGAATCAAAATATGCCCCCCAAAAATGTAAACCTACGTGACAAGTCTGGCTTATCAACACTTCTGACAATGACTAATTTAGCTTAAAAGGACAGACTTTGAAAATGCCTTGAAATTTTTTTTAACAACATTTAACAATATTTTTTGGTATAGATGCAGCAGACACAGGCTGTGTCTCGTGTACACCAATGCATTTTTTTTTCACGTGACTGGTGTGTTTATTCAATTGTTTTCAATGGGAGTGCCGCGTTTTTAAAACGCCATGAGTGTGACGAGGTGCTGAGCGTTTTTAAAAAAATTTTATCTGGCTATAAAGCGCTGACCACTCAGCATTTTTTACAGATCGGCGAGAGTTAAAGAATGTTAAACTTTGGTTAAAACGCTCATCACTGTCACTTTCTACCAGACCGTCCAATCACAATGGACCACACATACCACACTGACCAACTGTCACAACATTCTTTCTGTACAACATCAAATAGAGTAGATGGAAAAATAATATTTCTGGTCTCCGAACATACGTGTCTATATGACATCCGTACTATACAAACATTTTTAGTATTATACAAATTATCAGGGAAATCAGTTACAAGTAAACTGTGCCACAGATATTCTGTATAGCAACAAAGCATCTCAACAAAACAACAACAACAACAACAACAAAAACGCTGCACTGCCAAAACACAATCGCTCACAGCTAGGCCTTTTCAGATTGCCATAGCATTTTCAGCTGGCTAAAAACGCTTTGGTAGACACATGGCCTAAGGCTGGATGTGAGGCCACATGTTATGACATTGTGCTCACATATGTTTTGTAGGTAGAGTGTTTAGAAAAGTTCAAGTGTCTAAGTTCAAACTTATGAAGAGGTTTTTTTATGGTTTTGGGATGTGCAAGAAGATATTTAGTTGCTATTTGTGCAAAGCTAGGGGCACAATGATTTTGCCAAGTACATGTCCCTGTATCAACATATTTTTGTTGATCTAGGAACATCATTCCGGTTCATAAAAATAGTCCTAACTCTAACCCTAACCCTAACCCTACAATCAGAGGGACATTATAATAACACTGATAGAAGCATGGTTGAAAGCCTTAACTTCGCATAA